CGCTGAGAGATTATAGAGAGGAAGCTAAATACCTTTCCAGTATCCAGAATCGAGGGAAGACTAATTCCTGGACCAATGTCTCTCAATGTACCTGTGCTATATTCTTTCTTGGCACAGGTACATTCATGGCATACTCATCCTCTGGGATTGCGCTAAAGAATTGTTGGAGGCCTTTGTCACACATTTTGGAATTAATTACTTCACTTTGTCCTTTACAATGACATGTAATCCTGAATGTACTGCCTTTTTAGATGTGGAGATCTTTATACAGAAGATCATACTTTAGGGTCCACTTTGTACAGTAAGGCCACAGCTGGTAACACTATCTTAAGAACCAACAATGGCCATCCACGTAATTTAATTAGGTCTATACCATATAGCCAATACATACATCTTAAACGTAATTGTTCCAATCAAGAAGACTTCAAATGAGAGGCAGATGCATTAAGAATCAGATTGTTAGCTCGTGGATATTCAAATAAGATGCTGAAAAAAGCATACTGTCGAGCAAATCAACAGTCACGTACGGATCTAATTTGCCAGACTTCACAGTCTAGTTCTAATGCAATAACTTTTGTGATATTAATAAGCAGAAAGCATTTACTTTGTTGTGCCAAATTTAAGAAACAACCTTTAAAAGCTAGGCTACTTATTAACAAGTCGATACACCTAATTCATATAATTGAATAAAGTATAATAGAAAAAGTATACTGTAATAATGTTCATAGAAGGGCTTCATTTTATAAACATTTCCTGAAAGAAATACAGCTAACACAGCTGACCCTCTCTGGAAAATACCAGATACCTGGCCACAATGCTAAACAACTAGATTTGATACTTTCTATCTCAATTACCTGGAATATTAGAAGAATGCTTATCCTTATACTTTTCAGAGATTTAAATGATAACTAAAGCATTTAATATTTAGAAAACATTTGTATCCTGCAAAGTTTTGGATCTATAGCTGAAATGTAAGCATACTTTCAATGTAATGCGACTCTTGTCAAGTCATTGCCCCATCTAGAAATTATACACAAAGTAAACCTGCCCTACATTCATCCACCAATTGCTACTGAAGAACAAGTACTTGATGGTAAGCTGTTGTTCAGGCTCAAAATCAGGAAAAAATAAACAGCAAATGACTAGGGATGAGCGAATCTGCCTGTGTTCGGTTTACTCAAAGTTCAAAAACCCCAAACTTTGAGGCAAACCTAATTGGAACCTATGTGGGGATCACTCTTGTAATTCATTTCTGGTCATTTGCATGACTAATAAGCAAGCTACTGTCAAGCAGAGGACACGGGGAGTTGGGTACTGCCAGTTGGAAAATGTACTGATAATAGTGATAAAAAAAGTATTTCTCACTAAACATAACTGTCAGCTCTCCATAGGAATCAGGATCAAGGCTACAGGTTTCCAGGAAAAGAGAATATGGGCACAGAGGTTAAAACATTGAATCGCTGAGAGATTCTAGAGAGGAAGCTAAATACCTTTCCAGTATCCAGAATCGAGGGAAGACTAATTCCTGGACCAATGTCTCTCAATGTACCTGTGATATATTGTTTCTTGGCACAGGTACATTCATGGCATACTCATCCTCTGGGATTGCGCTAAAGAATTATTGGAGGCCTTTGTCACACATTTTGGAATTAATGACTTAACTTTGTCTTTTACAATGACATGTAATCCTGAATGTACTGCCTTTTTAGATGTAGAGATCTTTATATGGGAAGATCATAATTTAGGGTCCACTTTGTACAGTAAGGCCACAGCTGGTAACACTATCTTAAGAGCCAACAGAGCCAACTATCTTAAGAGCCAACGCGTTTCGCCCCACCCACAGGGCGTTATCAAGACCTTGATAACGCCCTGTGGGTAGGGCGAAACGCGTTGACGCACTTCCGGTTGCCTGTTCCGGCATCTGACGTCATTTCCGGTGAGTGGAACGCACGCTGAGCGGTGCGTTCCAAGGGGCCATCTTAGCATAGTGGATGAGTTTGCATCTGAGGTCTGCCATCCTGCTGTTTACTAGGCTGTGGGGTCTTCATGCAAAGTCGCTGTACTTGGAAAGTGGATCATTTTGAAGGAAAATCATTGTTGTTTCAAATAAAATGCGGGTTACATCCCGCTAAAATGTGAGTTGTCTGGAGAGATTATTTAGAGGAGAAACCACTACGGTATCACGCTATGGTCTTTTCTTCTTCCTGATTTTCCTTGGGGGATTCGGTGAGAGGAGTAAGCAGAAGAGGTACCCAGACATAAGAGGAAGCAGCATTTGGAGGTCTCATAAGAAGTAAAGGGGGTCCAGGAGCCCTTAATATTCCTGAAAGGCGTGTGACTCACTAATATCTGGTGAGTGCGGTTAATGTTGGTTTTTGCACTGGTGGATGGTGAAGGGATCAAAGGCACAGAAGAATCCAATGAAAACATTTTTTATAATTTGATTTATTTTGTCACGGGACTGTCAATTAATTTTTTGGGATTTTTGTGTCACTGGACTTATGAATTTTAATAACTTTTTATATTTATTTATATATATTTTATAATTTAATCCTTATTAGCACAAAAGTTTTTTGTCACGGTCTTTAAGTTTGTTTAATAAGTTGAGTAATGCAATCCAGTAGAGCACTGGTTAAAGCTTGTAGGAAGAGTTTTCATTCTCTCCTGATTGTCCTATGAGGCTGCATAACCCCTGACCCTCTGTCTGAACAGCACTGATTGTCCCTGTGATGATCACATGCACTCTCCCAAGTAAAAAAAACTCTCTAGCAATACACACAAAACTGAGCATATGCAACTTGCCCCAAAGGCTCTGTTCTATCAGCAGATGGACTGGGGACAGTAGAAGGGGAGGACCATAGAAGACAGGATCAAACATCCTTTTTACACAATGCAGAGGATTATCCCCTTGGGTTCCACAGCGAGTATAACAAGCATGCTTTACTACATAAACGTACAGACTGATTTTACTGTTCTGGGTTTAGTAACACTTTAAGTGAGCTCACAACATGCCTATTCCTTTAACCAGCTGTAACCATGTGCAATGTGTTCCATTCAGTCACTCCATCCACCTTACCAGGTTGTAACTGTTTATATGTGTATCCAATCAATCCCTTCCTCAGAATATTTCTCCCACTCGATTGCAAGAGTATAGAAAACATGTTGCCAAAAGCAGAAAAAAAAGTATATAATGCAGTACTGCTTTAAAATAATTCATAATAAGGATATAACCACTCACATTTAACATGCAACCCTTGTGCATCCCATATATCCCTGTGAAAAGTGCATCCAATTCCAATATCCTACCAAGAATCACTAACTTCACACCAAGGTCTTCTGTTTCTCCAGTATTTCAGCTCTCCCATGCAAAGATATTGCAAGAGATCCATAGTGCAGCAATTCCCTAAAATCTTTCCATCTTTTAAAAAGCCAATTCAATTACAAGCACACTCTTTTAAAAGCATGAAATCCTCGCTTAAGATGGCCACCATGAGACTTCCAACATCCATAATGACGGCACATCTGGTGCCTGCCATCACTTCCGGTGCCTGCCATCACTTTACGCATTTAATCCAATTGACTTTGTCCAAAGATGTGACATCTTTAACCCCTAATATAGGTCATCTGGATCTGTCTGCTGTTGCTGTAGACAGTAAAATTGGTAGATGCTCAACCAATGTATATGTAAACATTTTACTGCTAATTAGCATAGATTTGAACCCTAGCATTTAGTTTGCTAAAGCACTGTGAGGGAAATTTATTAAGATTGGAACAGTTTCTTTCTTTCCTTTTCACAGTTTAATTAAACAAGTTGAATATAGAAGCTGATTGGTTACTATGCAAAGCTGCTCCATATTCTGTCTGCTTTGTAAATTCCTGCTTTTTGTAATAAAAAAATTGCCCATTTTTTAAAGAAAATACTTGTTTTCACCTTTTTTTAAAATTCTTTGCTGCTTTTCAGTTCTGTTCTTTTGCAGCTTCTTTGCAGAAACATCATTATCGGAAGCCAGTGTGACAATGCAAGAGCATGATTCGGATATGGGAACAATAAGTCTTCACTTTGTAACAGGAGGGGTCTGCACAAGGACCGTCATCACAGGATCACTTGGTACCAGTTGCAGATTTAAAAACAATAGAAAATGATTTCAAAATTACAATACCATGTTAAAATATTTTTGACATTTTAGTAATTGAATTTACATATACTTTAAAGGCCAACTACAGCTTAAAAAGAAAATCATTGCCAAATGTAAAATAAAAAAATAAAACAGCCCTACAATACTTTCCTCATCTGTGGCTCTGTTTTCTTCACCTGGCATCACCTGGTTTAATTCTTTTTATTTCCGCTAACTCCAGGGCATCAATGACCCACCCTTTGGAAGCGTATCATTAGGCCACCCTGGACTCACAGGAAAAATTTGCAGAGATCCATACTGTGTTGATCCGTAAATGTGTTGAGAGGACCTGTAATGTCACCTGACCAGACTGAAAACAGCTGCAAAAAATATATATATATATATTTATAAAGAAATGAAAAAGTAGGCTTGCTCAGCTTTGAGTTCATCTTTAACCTTTTACCCTTACCCTCTGTACTTATTAACTGAATTCCCCCTTTTCCACACCACACCTGTCAGGAATCTGGGTATGACCAGAAAGGTGTGGACTGACACAGGGAAACACAGGTTTCAGGTATAGTATAATAATACAGTTATTAGCCACCCAGATATATATACAAACGCACAGTGAATAAACCAACCTTCCACTAATCTTAGTAGGTGCAGGAACACAGGCGTAGTCAGGGCTGGAGAGGTGGAATGGTCAGGCCGGCCATAGGGTTCTGTAATGAACGTTTGGTGGTACCTCTAGCAGTCCCTAGGACAGGATTCCCCAGGGCGCGGAGTCTAAGTCCCAGTCTGCTTATTCACCAGGGCCCCTGATGGTGGGGATGGACTTGGAGCAGATAGGAACCAGGTCGCGGCCCCTGAGTACACCTGCTAGTGGTAGAGGGATCCGCCAGAGGTATGTGCAGGTAGAAAGCCTGATGTGAAGAGGCAGAAGGTGTGAGCGGGGACGGCTGGATCCATGCAGGATGGATGGATGGCAGAACAGTTAGCGTGGTCAGACGAGCCAGGTCAGCAACATGCGGGCAGCAAGGTACCAAAGGAGCAGGCAGAGAATGGTCAGGGTCACAAGCCGGGTTCAGTAACTCACGGGCAACGCGGTACAGGGGATCAGGCAGAAGGATGGTCAGGCAAGCCAGGGGTTCAACAGGAGACGGTCAGCAGAGGTCAGGATCAAGCAGGGTCAGCAACGAAGCAGGAACACAGGATACCAGGTACAGGGGCTCATGGGAAAACATACACCAAGGCCCAGATCACAGGCCTGGTCATGCCTTAAATACACCTTCTGCAATCAGCCCCAGGTTTGGCTGATTGCAGAAGTGAGCTTCTGGCTGCTGAGAGCACCCGCTGGTCAGCCCTGGTACTGCAGCCCACACGGCAGGTGAGTCCCACCACCAGTGCTGAGTCCATTCCTGACAACACCACTAGGATACTTGAATGGTACTATTGCACATAGGTGTCCGTTTATGAACCAGCGATAATAGATCGCTGCTCAGTTCTCCGGCATTCTCGGAGAACACAGTTCTCCTTTGAATGCCTTTTATGAAGCAGTTCTCCGAACGAAGGGAGAATGGTCTCCAAACGCTGGAGAACGGTCTACAAATGCTGGAAAACTGCTGATTTTACTATAATCTCACGAGATTACAGTAAAAGATCAGTTTACTAAGCAGATGTAAATTATCGCTGCTTAGTTTGCGATCCCTCCGATTCTCCTCTGGGCTGGAGAATCTGGAGGGAGAGAACACAGATCTCCAGTGAAGGGCTGAACATGTTCTCCGCTGATCTCCTGAGTGTCATAAACTGTGAATGATCAGAGAGTAGCTGTGATCCTCTGAATCGCAGCTATTCTCTGTGTCATAAACGGACACCATAGTCCCATGTACTGGCATAACAACTCCCCGGAGTACAAAGCCTTTTGGTTTAAGACTGGACTTGAAATCTGCTGCTCCACAAGACTGGACTAACAGATTCCTTGAACAATGTTTTCAGATTGATACATTTACACATGACAGATACCTGTTTTTAAGATGCCTAAAAAGTCTGTAGATTAAGCTGACCCAGGGGCGACTGACAATTCATGGGGCCCCTGGGCAATAAGGGATCATGGGGCCCCTTTGTCCTTGCCCAAACTCAAAAAAGCCTATGAAAAAGGTACCAGGGGCATCTCATAGGGGCCCCCTACTGACCCCGGACCCTCGGGCAGTGCCCGAGTTTCCAAATGGTCAGTCCGCCCCTGAGTTGACCAAATTTAGTTTTCAGAAGCATTTCAGAAGCATGTTGTTAATTCATAGAGGGACAGTACATGAACATATTACAATCTTATGTGCATGTGTTTTGTATACTGATATAAAAATAAAAATTGTTTTAGATGACAAATAGCAAAAAATACATTACAGATACATCATCTTAAATCTTTGCATTTATCTATATCACATCTATATGGTTTTGGTTTTCTTTTTATAATGCCAATTCTATTTTATAACAGACATACTGCATACAACAGCAATAACTAACTTTTTTTCTGAAAGACTGCTGGAATATTTGTTTTATATTACAATTTGTTTCAAGCACTCATTTATCAAAGTCATAAAGCAGCATAGTACTGGGAAAGAAATGTATATGTTTCATGACAAACTGTAGCAGACAAACTGTTCTGTAGCAGTCTGAATCATATGTTATAGAGGTTTGCTTGGTGATGGAGTTAAATCAGAATTGGGTCTAGAAGCAAGAGCATAATACTGGAAGCCTAGACATGTAATCATTTATGTGATTAAAGGTCACCAATGTCACATGTCTGAGTACACCATGAAGTATACATTGTAAGGAACATTTCACTGATAATCCACATTGTCATTCATACTGGGAGCCTAGGTGAGAATGAAGAAACACTTAAAGTTGAAGTGTAGGAATAGAACAAAAATAAACATTAATATTCACATATATTGGTCTGATGCTGCAGCTGCCCCCTCCAGCTGTAAGACCAAAAACTGAATGATCGCATGACCACTGATTGCTCAGTTCTAGGTCTTCACTGAGCAGAGAGTGGTGACTGTCAGTTCTCTGCTCTGCTCCTTCAGCACTCACTGGTGCGCCAGGCTGTGAAGAGGGCTGGAGCAACTGGCTCAGATTCTCAGTGGTGCACTGGGAGGCTGAGTCACCTACCAGTCAGGCATCTGGACAGATCCCAACATTAATATTGTGATCTCTGCAGAGTCTGGAAGATCTCTATGATATCAGCCAACAATGGGCAGCTATAAGTGCACATCTGTGATACAGAAAAGAAGTATGGACAAAATAGGTTTGGCCATACTTCTCTTTTAACCAAGAAACAGTACAGAAAATGGGGTTGATTTACTAAAGGCAAATGGGCTGTTCACTTTGCAAGGGGATTTTTTACTTTGCAGGTGAAGTATCCCTTAATTTAGTGGAAAATAATAAAACTTTTTACTTAGCAAGGAAATTATCTCTTAACTTAGTGAATGCAGTGAAAATTCACCTTGCATTCACATGCAAGGAACATTTTAAAAATAGTATTTTTGCTTGCACATTTGATGATAGAATTAAGCAATGGTTCACCTCGCTCACTAAGTTAATGGAAAATTCCCTTTCAAAGAGAAAAGCCATTGCAAAGTGAACAGCAGACTTTTTGCTTTTGATAAATCAACCCCATTGGGTTTGGTTTTGCCTTCAAAAACTGCAAAAACTGCTGTCAATTTCAACCCTAACCTACCCCATTGTCAATTACGACTGAAGCAAGATATTCTATAGATGTATCCATCACTTTCCATGAGCTGTCATGAGAGAAATTGAAGGACGGACATTGCTTCTGAAAACGCTAGCTGAGCGGCCAGTTATACCGGCTATCTGACTTCGAAATCACTGACCTGGAACAAGTATGCAGATTAGCAAAGATGGAGAAAAGTCAAATGTCCTTATCTTCGTGCTTATTTGGGATCATCAACTTAAAGTTTTGAAGCCAAAGGGTCAGTATGGCAGCTAAGCAGCTGTCTTTCTTAGGAGGAATGCTCATCAATAACAGTAAATATGTTTTTTTCCCATGACAGGTGTCCTTTAACATCACAGTAATATTTACCATTGCTGGCATTGGAAAAAAATTGTTACTGAATGTAGGAGCATGTTGAGACTTGACCATGTACCAAGTGTTGCCTTTTATGTGGAGAACCCACATTTCAAAGCACAAACATTATTTTGTACCTAGACATGCAAGATAAAACTATTATGAGCCTTGATATCTAGTACGTTAAGAGAAGACAGGCTAATCTCTTAAAGTGTACCTAAACTCAAGTGCAAAAATGTAATATATTGCAGTCCTTAGATGTGGTGGCTGCATTGGTTTTCTTAAGATTTTCACCTGGTGATCTTGACAGTAATGCACTGGCCTGTCCTCGGATGGCAATTTTCACTCACTGTTCTGTATTATAAATGAGAATAGTGGCACCATTAGCTGCACTCCTGGCTTGGATTGCAAACACCTCCACATCACCTCATTGCCATAACATGGAGGGGGTGGAGCTCTATAGTTCACAGAAAAGAACTGACAAGAGCTAATCTCATTGTTTTACATTTCATTTCTGTGCACAGGAAGATACAAACACATCATTTTTCTGGCAAAATCAACAAGTAATTTTTGCACTTACAGAAAAAGTGCTTAGCTTGAAAAAATAAATTAATTCAGCCACAACATCTAAAGACTTGTAAGCTGCAATATATTACATTTTTTTCTCCAGCCTAAATCCACTTTATTGGTCACCTAGTAAAAGATTTGCTCAAACAAGCTAACAGTAAAACTAAATTGGATAGATTTTAGATAATAGTAACATAATAGAAAAACAGAATGAAAGCCTGGAAATACACAACTCCAGGTTGCCTCCACTTGTAACTTAAAGTGGTTTGCATGTATAAATTCATAACATTTGCCAATAATGTGGAATTAATTGGCGCACTAAGAAAGACAGACCCAAGTGTGTAATGTAAAGAGCAGAAGAAAAGGGAGATGTCAGCACTCTTAGAGAGGGGACATAATGACACAATGACAAGAGTCAATAGATGATAAAAAGTTCTTAAAAGTCCAAAAAAGTAATCCAAAGGTGCTTGATTCAGTGGCAGCTGTTTCATAATAGCTAGAAGAGACTCTGCATGCAAACATGTAACACCACTGTGAGGCTCCAGTCCACTGCATACAGGTCCCTAGAACACTGTCCCTGGCTGTGCTGGTGGCTTCCAGCACTTCCTAGTTGACATGGGTCCACAAGGCGGGCAAAGATAATGTCACTTCCTGGATACAGTGGTGGTGGAAGTTGCACACATTCAGATCACGCGTGCTCCTTTATCAGGCCAGCAGGACCGGACTGGTGCCTCATAGCAATGTTATATATTTGACAAGTGCTCTTCCTATTACTTTTGTCAGTTGCCAATGTTGTATTATTAAATTAACTGGCTTTATTACAACACTTAGGTGGCTATACTTCTGTTTCATTTGGGTTTCAATATGGAAGAATAAAATAGAATAGAATGTCTGTACTGTCATTGCAAAAATCATACAATTACATTTGATGCCACTCTCACACAGAGAACAATGTCTTACACACAAACAGACAGTATAACAACCCACACAATACAATTAGTAATTAAAAACACACATAATAAATAAATATAATTAAAATTCATAATACCTTAAAAAATAGCATTAAAATGTCATGCAATTATATTACTGAACAAAACCCACCTAACCAACAACCAGGATTTAGTTTTTTGTTATGTCAAGAGGTTGGATAATCTTAAATACCCAGGGTTTCCTAAATGCTCTGCATCAATATCTAGTATATCACAAAAAGAAAAAGAAAGCGCCAATCAATAATATCAATACTATAAAGCAGCAAACCTCTAACCCAAATTTGGTGTAAAACAAAAAATCAAAATCGGAATGCGCTAAAAATATATTTAAAAAATCAATATACTGTGTTTGGACTTTTTTGCACAGTATATTGATTTTTTTATATATTTTTAGCGCATTCCGATTAATATCTAGTATATGCTTCACTTATCTCAACCCATATGATATTTTCCTCCCACCTCTCCTTCCTTACAGAGCACCATCGGCAGATATACAGAAACAGCTGGCTAAATTTTATACTGCTGCAAAAAGAAAATGTTGAATGCTCACAGCAGAAAGTAAGGGTTTTAAGCATAGATGGAACAGTTTTCTTTCCTGTAAATTGGGGTTGTGTTGAT